TGCTCGAGATGAGACGCGCGCTCGCGGTCGTGATACATCTGGGCAGAACATCGATGGCATGCCAATCGTCGAGTGCTCGTGTTTACCGACTCGTTGGTGGACCTGGATGTCCTATGCAAGGGAAGATCGAAGGCGCGCAAGATTCTGCGGTTTTGCAGGAAGGCCTCGGCGATCGCCTTGACGACGGGCTTCAAGCGCTACCTGAGCTAGGTTCCAGGCGAGTAATTCACGCGAGCGGACTTCCCCGCGGCGGGCCCCTCGGCGTCGATTCTGACGCGGCGCGGACACGCGCGGATCGGAGGATGCATCGCTTTTTGCGCTCGATTTTCAAGTCGACCCATCTGCGTTTAAGTCAAGCTCGTCATCGGCGAAGCCGGTGATGATGTTCCATGTCGTGGTTATATTGGCCACGACTGCATGTTCTTTGGACGCTGGAGTGCAGGAGATGCCCTGCCGCGGACAGCCTCGAGTCAAGTTGTCGCCGCTCGAGAGGAGGCGCTCTTGCCTGGGCCAGTGCCATGGGAGGGCAAGACCACAGTGAATAACACATTGATCGCGTGCTGTGGATGATGTCACGACTCGCCGACGTGAGACAGGGCTTCGCGCTTTTCTGGTGGATATCAGACGCAGCCGTGCCCTTTTTGAGACGCTCCAGGACAGAGACCTTGCGCGACAGGCACTTGGATTACGTTTGCCGCAGATTCTGCGACGTCTTCGGGGATGAGAAACCCCCGCGCCGCGTCCCGCGCATCAGGCCTGGGCGAGACCCCAGCAGGTCGCAAAGGGCGCCTCTGCCCCGCAGGAGAGCACGGCCGCCGATCAGCGCAACGCAGAGAAACATCGAGGAGCCGATCAGCACTGAGCCACATCATGGAGGCGGTCGCCGCCCACCTCAGCTTCGACGCTTGGTTCCAGCAAGACTGGCTGCGGCTGTGCGCCGAGCATTGCCACCGGGACCGCCGCGGGAACTTCCGCCGCTTGGGGGTAGGCGCCAGGGCGAGCGAGTCAAGACAGGATCGGGTCAAGGGGTCGTCCTAGAGATGAGTACCACTGAGGCGCCAATTCGGTGCTTCTTGGTGGGCCTTCAGCCAGACGTTTGATGGGGCCCTCCATCGACGGCCCCCTACCGTAGCGAATGGTGGGAAGCCTTGCAAAGTTTGAAACCAGAACTTTCTGGGCCCCCCTGCGCGGCCTTCGACGCCCCGGCGCCTCCCGCTGCATTGGGGTAGGCGGCGGCGTGGAAGTTGCCCGGCGGGGTGGGTCGCCGGCATTCCGCCAGCTCGCTGTAGAGATGCACTGAAGGCCGCGGTCTGGTTGAGCGACGCCTTTTCTTTCGCGTGAGCTTAATTCTCTGGGCCGACGTCTTGGCCGTCGCCTGCGAGCGCCCGGAGAATTGCGACCTTGCCATCGCCGGCCGCGGGCTGCCCGCTCGTGGGGGCGTTGATTCGTCGGCGTCAGGATGTTGCGTCGGATGAGCGTCTCGATCATGGCGCGCGCGCCCAGCCGCTCAGTGCCGCGGAACTCGTGCGAGGTCGTGCCCGTGTTTATTTTTGGCTTTTCTGGTGTCTTGTTGCTAATGTTGAAGTATATGTTTCGGCGATCCGCAGGTCTGGGCTCGCCCGCATGGTTTGGGGCGTGCACGATAGGAGCACGCGTGCCACTTTCTAGTTTCGGGTTGCCAGGTCAGGCGCCGACCTCGCGACGCGCGCAGATGAACGCGGGCAGATTTCGAGGCGAGTCGCCACCCATGCTGGCGCGTGTAAGCTGCGAAACGCTCTCTGCATATCGTCTGTCTGGCCCTTTCCCCTCCGCCCTCGCCTCTTCTGCGCCGAAAAAAACAGTTGCCTAGGATTTTTGTCCCAACCATCCTGTGGTGTTGGGTCTTCGTTTTGAAGAGACGGTGCCCCGCGTCTCCTCTCCTCTCCTTCCTTCCTCCTCCTCCGCCTCCTCCCTCCTCCCTCCTCCCACCCCTCACACGTTTCGTGGCCCCATAGGGAGCTCCACGAAGGCCCCAGTGGCCGCGTCCACATGGCGGCGCCGCACCCATTTCGGCACACCCCTCACACGTTTCGTGGCCCCATAGGGAGCTCCACCGAAGGCCCCAGTGGCCGCGTCCACATGGCGGCGCCGCACCCATTTCGGCACACCTCTCACACGTTTCGTGGCCCCATAGGGAGCCCCATCGAAGGCCCCAGTGGCCGTGTCCACATGGCGGCGCCGCACCCATTTCGGCACACCCCTCACACGTTTCGTGGCCCCGATAGGAGCTCCACCGAAGGCCCCAGTGGCTGCGTCCGCATGGCGGCGCCGCACCCATTTCGGCACACCCCTCACACGTTTCGTGGCCCCATAGGGAGCTCCACCGAAGACCCCAGTGCTACCGCTTTCATGCGTCCCGTACGCCCAGGACAGCGTTTCGTGTCACGCCTTTCGTGGCCCCATAGGGAGCCCCACCGAAAACGGCACCCACAAAGCGTTATTCACAATTGCACATGGTTGGGTCTTTCGCCAATATATATATATATATATATATATATATATTGTGCGAGGGGCCCGATGGCTAAGGGCTGGTGGGTCGAGCGAGGGTCGTTCTCTATTCTGTGGCCCTCAAGTTGTTTCGCCCCCGTCCCATTATCCCCGCTTAGATCGTCAACGCCAAGTCGAAATTAGCTCGACAGGAGCTCGTCTGCCATAGCTTCGCGTCGATATGTCACATCAGTTACCGATCCCACGACGTGCGCACATGTGCTCGAGAAGACTTCGACACGGGTTGCCTCCCGTGCTGGGGCGCGTGAGATGCGAAGCGTTTTCTGCATTGTCGTCTGGTTGGCCCTCCCCCCTTGGCCCTCTCTTCGCGCGCAGTGAAACCAACATCTCTGGAACGATTTCGACGAGCGCGCGGGGCGGACGTGCGCGCGTTGCCCACGCGATATTTCGTGACAGGCATGTTGGGCGCGCGATGGTGGTTGAACATTGTCGACATGCGCGCGTTTGGCCCACGCGGTACACACATTAGCTAACTAGCGTTTGTGTCCCATATTCCTGCGAACGCGCAAGCGCAGGATTATGTCAGTTTGTTTGGTGGAACCTCTGTCGGTTCCCACTGCTTGTTTTGAGTCTTGGTTTGATTGAGACCATGTGCTTCCGTAGGATTGTGACGAGTGCGCGCGGCGGCGCTTGCATGTGCCCTGTGATTTCAAATGTTCGACAGAGCGTTCGCTGTCTGTGGGCGCCTGGAAGGGCGGGGCGGGGGGATTTCACGGGGCCGCTCCCCCCCCACAATCGCAGGGGCCCCCTCCTCCTCAATGGGTGGGGGGGCCGAACCACCCCACCCCACCCTCGAGATGCACAAGGGGGGGGAGGAAGTCGAACTGGGAGGCGGCCCCCCCCCGCTTGCAACCGACGACGGCGAGCGCCCGCGCTGGCGCTGGCGCCGTCGGCAGCGGCGGCGGCGACGACGACGACGACGATTGACACTCATTGATGCTATGATGGCTGAGTCGAACCCGAGTAAGATTATGTAGTTCTATTGACGTTGGATCGAGCCCCAGTAGGATTCAATTGGAGCTTGATCTCGCGTTACAAGGTTTCTATCAGTGCTGGATCAACCCTTGGTGCGATTCAATGAATGATGGATCCAGCGATAATCGATCCCAACTAGTGCTGGGTTGAGTCCCGGTTGGATGCAATTAAAGTTAGGTCCAGGTATGACAGGATTCCATTCGAGTTTGACGGGCATTTAGTTGGATCCAATATGGGTTGCATCCAGTAAGGGTAGGATTATGTTAGAGTCGGATCGATCGAAACAGATTACGGTGTTGTTTAAGTTGGATCCAGCCATAGTTGGATTATAGCACAGCTCGATCGAACACTGATACGATTGAATCAGGGGGAGTGAGGGGATGCCCGATTTGACCACCACCTTTGCACACGGGGGGGGAGGGGCGTTTCACGCCCCCTTTAGAGGCGGGGGGGTAGAGGGCCCGGCCGATGTCCGGTCGTGGGGGTCTCGGTTTTCTGGGCGCTCATGCTTGTTTTTTGTTGGGTGGGGGTGGGGGGGCGGTTCCGACGTGTCCAAGTATCCTTCTAGCCACGAAACGCGTTCTCCCAAGCGTTCGAAACATGTTTTTGCAACATCACTTTACATCACTTTTCACATCAACGCATGCTCACAGCGCTGTATGATTTGGTTGGGATGACGGGTGGGGTCGGTACGCTTGTGAATGTGATGATACGAGTACACGTGGAAAGTGAATCATGAGGCAAACGCACATGCAACTTGCAATATACACAGGCGACCGATCAAGGCCCGCCTCGAAAGGGGGGCGATTTCCATGTCGGAAGGGAGACCATGGGACCATACTGGATACCAGGATGAAAAGCCATAAAGGGGAACCATATGGGAGACTAGAGCGGAGACCGTGCGGGAGACCAGTCGGAAGCCTATGCGGGAAACCATGCGGGAGACGGTCGTCATTGTGTGGCACGCAGCGGGGCCCCCAGAACGACATGCTGGACTTTACAGCCACGCCGTTTTTCCCATGCTTTCGCATTTCGCATTGATCGTCTCTTCCTGCGAGGCTCCGCCTCTGCGTTGTTAGCCGATGCACATGTCCACGACTCTTTTGCGGGATGCTAGATCTGAGGTCTGATTGTGTTCGGATGGGGAGGGGGAGAGAGGAAGAGGAGGAGGAGGGGAGGAGGAGGAGGAGGAGAGGAGGAGAGAGGTAGAAAGGATGAGAGGAGGAGGAGGAGGATGTTGGAGGGGAGGAGGAGGAGGTGGAGGAGGGAGAGGAGGAGAAGGATGAGTTGGAGGAGAGAGGAAGAGGAGGAGGAGGAGGAGGAGGAGGAGAAGAAGGAGGTCAGAGGATGAGGATCGGGAGTAGGAGGAGGAGGAGGAGGAGGAGCAGGAGGAGCAGGAGGAGGAGGAGGAAGAGGAGGAGGCGATCCTGGCCGCGCCGCCCTGGTTCCCCTGCACGGCTCGCGGGCGCGATCCCGAGGTGTTCAGTGCCGACCTCGGCGACCTGAACTTGGTCTCCCAGCAGGCGCCCACTGGCGGCTGCCCTTTTCGTAAGCGCACAGTACTTTTCAGTTCTACAGGAGGAATGTTCAAACATAGTCAAACATACAACTTGTTCTGACCATCTTGGAATATCATTGGGGGTATTTTTTCATCCAAAATCGCCCTGCACGGGGACATGCCCGACTTAGCAATACTTCTGCACTGCGCGAGTGAACGTCCAGAAATGTCCTCCGCACTCAGGCGTGGGATCTGTGTCAGGAGGGACAAAAAGCACACAGACACCGTGCATCGTCGATTCCAGGGAAAACATGGGACAATATGTGAAGTGGTGGGGACGACGAAAGCCCAGAAAATACGTCCAGGGGGAGGGGGGGACCGGACCTCCTGTGTCGCTGGGCCCCCGCTTGCTCTCCGCAGCGCCGCGCGTCTCCTCCCTCCGGGCAGGCGACCGCAAACATGGATCAAGGGGCTGTGGATTAGCGGTGGGTCCCGTTTTCCTGGGAAATCGTAAATTTCCGCCTCCGAGCGAGGTGGGCCTCATTTTCGGGAGGGCACTTCCCCCGATCCATGGATGTGGCGACCGCGCGCCAAATCCATGGATCGCTAATCCATGTTTGCGCGCCCCCGAGCCAGGTTTTCCTCCCCCTCCCTCCCTTTCTACAGCAGTTCGGCGCATGCCCCACAGGGAGCTCCACCGACGGCCACAGCGGACCAGATTGCATAATGGCGCCTTGCTCATGTCGGCACACCCCTCGCGCGGATCGTGCCCCACAGGGAGCTCCAACTACAGTATCAGCGGCCAGTTCGCGTACGGTCGGGAACCTTTGGATACCGCGTCACTCCGCCAGTTCTGGTTCACCACGCTTCGGCACGACACGCTATTCATTTCCTGGCCCTGAGTTTCAACGTCCCGAGCCTTTCCGAGCCTCCCGTACCGCGGAGCTGAGCGACACACTATCCGCTTGCAGAGAATGGCGTGTCGCCGGGGACCGTAGCTCTGTCGCGCCCATGCCGGCACACCGCGGAACGTTGATTGCGTCCCGGCGGCTCTGCTTCCAGCCTGTGGCCTCAGGCTGGCGCTCGTGTGTCGAGCTCGGCTTCCGGCCGACTCCTCCGAACTTCACAGTTTGAATGGGTGGGGGTCACAGACCTCCCGGACGAGCCATTTCCACATCCCTCAGAAGCCTCCAGGACAGCTCAAATCAGTCCCTCTAAAATCAGACCCTCACCCTTTTTGTTCATGAACCCCGGAGTCCCCTGAGTTATTTCGGAAAACGCAGCTGCACAGTGGTGGGCTCTTCGCCCGCGTACTGCTCGTTTCAGCATGGCGGTTTTGCCCCTGGCCAGCGTTTTGGTGCCGCTCTTGGCTTCTGGTTGGCCCTTCGGGGCGGTTTCGGGCCCCCTTGAGTTGCAGTGGAGGCTCATGCCAAGAATCACCCTGCTCGCCTCCAGGGTGCCCTGGGTTTCGATGGCTTTGCGATGGCAAGCGTGGCGTTCCCACACCAAAAACCCATGGACGTCATGGGGGTCTCAGAGTTGCGTCTCTTATGGACGGTTTCTTCGGCGTCACCCCAACATATTTATATTATGTGTGCGTCGCCCCCCCGGGGGCGATGCGCGCACCGAGAGATCGTATAGTATATGCGTCGTGGTAGGCGCTTTCTGGCCACACCGCTCGGGAAACGACATACGACAAGATGGGTATACTACATGTTTGGGTCGGACGCGGGCCTCCAAGGAGAACATATAGTACTAGTATGTCTTTGTGCGCCTCATTTCTTGCGGACTGGCCTCCAGCGTAGGCCTGGTGGACGGACAGACGGACGCGCCCGTCGGCCCTTGCAGCCTTCCTCGAGTGGCACGCGCGGCGGCGCCTCGGCCCTGGGGCTTCACGCTCGTGGTGCGGATGTCGTCGCGGCGTCCGCCCGTCGTTCCGTCGGTTCTTCCGCACGCCGTGTCGACCCAAGAGGCCCCCACGAAAAGACATTGTGAGCCCGAGTGTTTTTTCTCGTGCACCGCTCGGGGCCAGTTCTGTTGCTGCTGCGTCGTGGTGTGGAGAGCCACGGGGCCAACAGACATCTCCCGGAGAGGAGGAGGAGGAGGAGGAGGAGGAGGAAGAAGACGACGACGAGGAGGACCAGGAGAACGGGAAGGAGGAATAGGGAGAGGAGTGAGATCGTCACGAGGGAGTGGGGGATGAGGCGCGAGGAGCGGGAGGAGGAGGAGGAGGGAAGAGGGAACATACACGCGGAGGGCTGAGAGGTGAAGGGAGAGAGAGGGGACCTTGCGGCGCCAAGCACGCGATCCAGCAGTGCAACCACACCTGCTTGGCGGCCATCGAATGCGAGGCGGACCCTGGGGGCAGGGCAGACACCCGTGATTTCCCCGCGCTCTCTGCTCCCCTTCCTCGCCCCCCTCCCTCTCCCCCTCGCGCTCCGAGTTTCCCGCTCGGCCCCTTTTCCCACATCTCTCTCTCCCTCCTCCCTCCTTCTCTATCCTCCCTCCTCCCTCCGCCCTCCTCCGCCTCCTCCTCCTCCTCCTCCTCCTTCTCCTCCTGCTCCCCCCGTTTACGCCAAGGGCCTCGACCGTTTCCGTACGGAGCAGTTCGCGAGCCACCTGGGGCAGGACGGCGTCGGCCATGCCCGCAAGAATTCATTGGCCGAGTGGTTCAACCACGAGGCCGACACCCTGGCAACGCAGGCCGTTCTTCGTCACAACCTCGCTACGGTGGAAACACATGCCAACTAACACCCTGCTGGCCTCCAGGGTGCCCTCGGCTTCTTGGGTTTGGAAGGAGTGACGCTCCCACACAAAGAATCAATGGACGCCCTGGGGTTCCAGCGTTGGGTTTCTTGTGGAAGGTTTCTGGTGGTCGAGCTCCTACAGTACCGACGTCGTGGCCGCCGCAAGCGGCGGCACAATCCCGCACCCGCCCAAACTCCTAATTCCGCCTCACAGGAGTTCTTGCAGGCCCACGACAAGGCCCTCAACGACATGGCGACATCTTCTCGGCCACCGCGGTGGCCTCAACAACTTGAAAGTTGGCGGCGCAGAGGATCCTCAGGCGCGGACGGCAAAAAGAGGTGCCAATTGCGATGGAGCATTGTCGATGGCACAATGCACAAAGCGTGCGTGAAGTGGTGGCTTCAACAGCCCCAGCGACGACAAATAGTGAACGTATCGACGTCCCCAGACATCCGACGTCTCGATTTTTTCGAGACACGGGTCCCAGACCTTGCGGCCGCTTCCCCAGCGCCGGTTTTTCATCCCGAATCGTTTTGTTGACGGCCCCGAGGCCCGGCGAGGGCCCCGGGAGGCCGCAAACGACAAACAAAAATGGCCGTCTCGATTCCTTCGAGGCGCCCGACGTCTGGGTCTCTGGCCCCGGCAGAGGCATGGACGACGACGGCCCTGCCCAGGACGTGCGACGCCGCGCCGCTGCCGCGCGTGGCCGCGACCGTCCCCCCTCCCTGCGGAGAGGCCCGGCCCGCGCCCCGGGCGCCACGGCGATGGCCCCGCCCAGCGCGGAGGGGCGCTCCCGCACCTCGGCGGCGAGCGAGGCGGGGGCACAGAAGGGCACGGCGAGCGTGATCGCTCGCCGAGCCCCGTCGGTGCACTGCTCGGGCCTGACGAAAGGGGGGGGATGGGGAAAAAGGGGGGATACGACATCTGCTGCATGTGGCTGGTTTCAGCCCCACCGAGGGGCCCATTCCTCGATACATGGGCCCCGGGAGGCGCCGGAGCTGATTCTCAACCCCCCCCTTGGCTATCCCCCCTTTCGCCCGGCCCGAACTGCGTTCCGGCGGCGTCCATTGCGGCGCCCCACGGGTCCACCACCAACGCGTGGGAGGCCACGTGGCAAGGCGCGTGGATCTTGCAGGATCCTGCAGGGCCTGAATGCCCCAGGTGTGCGTTGACCTTGGTCGGTGCGTCCCCGCAGAAGGCCTTCTCGGAAGCCAGCGGGGGAAAAGGTGCCCATGCCTCTACCCCTCTCTGGTGGTTTCCTTTTTGGACCTCCAGGGCGGCCGTCGTCGCCCTTTCGCCGGAGAGTCGCAGCGAGGTCCTGGTCCGAAGGCGCCCCGGGAGAGGCCCCGGGAGTCGCGGTATGGACATTTTTCGGTTTCCCCACGGAGGTGGCGGGGCTGCTCAGAAGCCCTCCAGCCTTCTGAGAAGCGTGTGCCCGTCTTCGGGGAAGGCTACTCCAGATTTCGTCATAGAAGGGAGGGGGTCTGGACCCTCCAAGAGAAGCCATTTCAGACCTCCCCCGTGGGAGAACCCTCCAAAACATCGTCCCCAGATCCCCCAGGCCCTCCAAGATAGCCTGGAAGAGACCCGCCCGAAATGAGACCCCCCTGCCTTTATTACGAAATCTGGATTATAGAAGGCTTCTCAGAAGGCCGGGGGACTTCCGAGCCATCTGACGGGGCCCGCCCCTTCGCTTTTCCCCCCGGGCTCGCCGCCGATCGCCTCACACCGGGGCGGGGGCGGGCAACTCGCCCTCGCCCCCCGCCTGGCCCTGCCGCCAGCGGGGCCGCAGCATGCGCAGCGCCGTGCCGCCCTCGCAGCTCACATCGCGCCTTTGCGGGACCCCGCCCAGCGAGCACAGCATGCACAGCACGCGCTCGTCGCGCGCCTCCACAACGCGTCCACGACGCTCTCTTCAGTCGCGGGCGCCCGGGGGCCCTCCAAGAGCGCTCGTGTCTGCCGCGGCCAGTGCGATTGGCCCTGCAGCGATAGGCCCCGCCGAACACGGCTGGCCCCCGCAGCGCCACCAAGCTGCCCTTGGTGCTGGCGCCTTGGCCCGGCCACCCTCGACGCCGTGTATTTTCTCGCACCTCCGCCTCCTCCTGCTCCTCCTCCTCCTCCTCCTCCTCCTGCTTCTCCTCCTCCTCCTCCTTTCCACGCTGTGATCCTCCCCCTCCTCCTGCCACTCTCCGCCTTCTTCTCCTGCTTCACGTCGTCCTCCTCCTCCTCCTCCTCCTCGTCATCATCATCAGCATCCTCAGCATCATCATTATCATCATCATCCTCATCATCATCATCATCATCATCATCATCATCATCATCATCATCATCATCACCATCATCATCAGCATCATCATCATCCTAATCTTTATCATCATCATCATCATCATCATCATCATCATCATCATCATCATCATCATCATCATCATCATCATCATCATCATCATCATCATCACCATCACCATCATCATCATCATCATCATCATCATCATCATCATCATCATCATAATCATCATCATCCTGCTCTTTCATATCCGCCCTCCTCATCCTCCCTCCTCCTCCTCCATCCTTCTTCCTCCTCCCCCTCCTTTTCCCCGCCACCAGCAACCAAGCACCACAGCACCGGCTGTCGGCACCCTGAGCCTACACCAACAATCCCACCACAGGCCACCAGCATCGACTGGCAACGTTAGCAGCACAGACAGGATGAACCACCGAAATCTACCCACCATCAGCGCCGACCAACGTAGACCAACAGCACTAGCAATGCCATGCGGTGACGAATGCTCCCACCCAAGCGACACGGCACCACCAACACACGACGATATCGACTCAAGAATTCCCCTTCATCACCCTCTTCCTGTGTTCCTAGCACGCATGTCTAAACATACACCACAGTAGCTGGAGGCTACGGCCTCGCTGACCTGGTGTCGAGTAGACCCAGGCACTTGTGGGTGTTCGGTCCTCCTGCTCCTGCTACTGCCTTTGCGCGTGCTCCTCCCGCGCGCGCGCTGGTTCCTCTTCCTCCCTTCCCCTTGTCCCCGCGCGCGCTGGAGCGCAGCGCGCGCGGGTGTAGAAGAGGCGGAGGAGGAGGAGGAGGAGGAGGAGGAGGAGGAGGAGGAGGAGGAGGAGGAAGGAAGAGGAGGAGGACGAGGAGGAGGAGGAGGAGGAGGAGGAGGAGGAGGAGGAGGAACTGGAGTAGGAGGAACAGGGCGCAGGAGACGAGCCGCAATCTTGAATCTGGCGGAGGAGGGGGCCTTTGGGGCAGGGGGGAGCCTAGAAGGACGCACGCGGGGGAATGGACGCAAGAGACGAGACTCGGAGGCCAGTTGAGGGCCTTGTGAAAAGGGATGGTTCGGCCCCTCTCCTCCTTGTCCAGGCTGGCCCATTTGTTGCCTGAGCTAAGCCAGCATAACCTGCTTCTCATCTCACGCCTTGCCTGGTGATCTCACCCCTTCTCCGTTTTGCGCTATGGGCAAAAGAAGGAGAGGCCAGGATAGTTTCCCGGAGGGTCCTCAGAAGGGCCTTCGGGGGTGATGTATGAGGGAAAGGGGTGGAGAGAGCAGGGAGGGAGAGAGCCGGGAGGGGGCTGCATCCCAGGGGAGGGCTTCGGGCCCTCCTCCTCCTCCTCCTCCTCCTCGCTCCTCCTCCTCCTCCTCCTCCTCCTCTCCTCCTCCTCCTCCTCCTCCTCCTCCCTCCCCCTCCTCCTCCTCCCCCTCCTCCTCCATATCCCACGGCTCGCAGCACAAAAAACGACCCCCTGCTGGTCCTCCTGCCCCCTCGGCCCTGCCCGCGCCGTGCGGCGACGCGAGAGGGCCCGCGGCCGGAGCAGCGCCCGCGCACCGCGCCCTCCAAAGGCCCCGCCGACCCCCACCGGGCGTTTGGGGATCGCCGCCGCGCGGTCGGCCAGGGCGCCCCCCCCCCCAGGGGCGCGCCCGTCGCCCGCGGCTCAAGGGCCCGTCGTCGCCGGAAATGGCTGCGCGCGTCGCCTCCACGGCTGCGGCCTCCGAGGAGCCACCAGGGCACCTGGCCAGCCTCGGGGGGAGGGCGCCTACTGCAGCGGGCAACGCAGGCCGTTCTTCGTCACAGCCTCCCTGCAGTGGAGACCCATGCCAGGAAACACCCTGCTGGCCTCCAGGGTGTCCTGGGTTTCCTGGGCTTCGATGGTTTTGGCATGGAAAGCGTGACGCTCCCATACCAGAGCTCAGTGGACGTCCTGGAGTCTCAGGGTTGGGTTTCTCGTGGCAGGCTTCTTGTGGCCGAGCTCCTGCTGCACATCCACCGAGGACAAGGCTATGGTGCCGCCGAGGGCCAGCTCGGCCTGCCGAGCGCGCCCTGCAGCCGCCCGGAGGGTCGGGTCTTCGACTCAGGGGTGGACCGCGTGTGCGAGGATTGCGCCCCCCACCGATGCCCCAAGCATCCCCAGACCCCCTGGAGTCATGAATTACCTTGTGACGTACCCAACCCATTTGTATCATGGGAAACGAGGAGTTGGCCGAAACTTGCACGGACAAGCAAATTGCAGGATCCGTTGCTTGATATGTAAGCTACTTGGGACAAGCTCAGCAGCCCTCGAAAGTGGCGACAGTTTCACAGATCGCAGCCCCCAGCAGCCCTCGAAACGCAGCGACGAGCGAGGTAAGAAAGTGGCGACAGTTTCACAGATCGCAGCCCCCCAGGGATGGCGAGGTCCCATTTGAATCCGCCGTGGGTACCCACTGTGCTGGGCCCCCCAGCAGGCCTCGAAAGTGGCGACAGTTTCACAGATCGCAGCCCCCCAGGGATGGCGAGGTCTAATTTGAATCCGCCGTGCCCACTGTGCTGGGCCCCCCAGCAGGCCTCGAAAGTGGCGACAGTTTCACAGATCGCAGCCCCCCAGGGATGGCGAGGTCCCATTTGAATCCGCCGTGGGCCACTGTGCTGGGCCCCCCAGCAGGCCTCGAAAGTGGCGACAGTTTCACAGATCGCAGCCCCCCAGGGATGGCGAGGTCCCATTTGAATCCGCCGCGGGTGCACACTGTGCTGGGCCCCCCAGCAGGCCTCGAAAGTGGCGACAGTTTCACAGATCGCAGCCCCCCAGGGATGGCGAGGTCCCATTTGAATCCGCCGCGGGTGCACACTGTGCTGGGCCCCCCAGCAGGCCTCGAAAGTGGCGACAGTTTCACAGATCGCAGCCCCCCAGGGATGG